CGCATTTCAACAAGAAATTGCCGGTGTGCATCACCTGTGATGCGTCCCCTTATGGGATTGGGGCTGTGTTAAGTCACTTGAAGGCTGATGGAACGCAAGTCCCAATAGCATACTACTCTAGAACCCTATCATCAGCTGAATGCAATTATGCACAGATAGATAAGGAAGCCTTAGCCATAGTGGCTGGCATAAAGAAGTTCCATGACTTCATATATGGCCGCCATTTCACGGTCTTTACAGACCATAAGCCACTGCTGGGGTTGTTCACAACAAACAAACAAACCCCACACATAATATCCCCACGAATGCTGAGGTGGTCTATCTTCCTGTCTGCATATGACCATACACTGGTTCACAAGCCAGGCAAAGAAATGGGCCACGCAGATGGCCTCAGCAGGTTGCCATTACAGCAGATAGAGGCAGATCCAGCACCTGCCAACCGCATTCTGTCTATTCAGGACTTGCCTGAATCTCCCTTCAGTGCTAGGGACGTGGCTGCAGAAACAGCCACCGATCACATGCTAACACGCGTGCTAACCTGGGCGTTGTCTGGATGGCCTGACACATGTCCAGACTCCGAATTCCAGAGCTTCTGGCAGAGGAAGCACGAGATTTCCACCTTCAAGGGGTGTGTCCTATGGGGTAGCCGGGTAGTAATCCCAACCTCATTGAGGACTAGAGTCCTGCAGTCTCTGCATGAGGGACATCTGGGTATAGTCCGGATGAAGGCATTAGCGCGCAGCCATCTTTGGTGGCCTGGGCTTGACAAAAACATCAAGGCCCAGGTCCACGGGTGCACTGTTTGTCAACAGTCAAGGCCGGAGATGCCCCAGGCCCCAGTTCATAGGTGGGAAAAGACTCATACCCCATGGTCGAGGGTCCATATCGATTACGCTGGGCCCTTTCAGGGACAATTCTTCTTAACCCTTGTGGACAGCCATTCCAAGTGGCTAGAGGTCATGCCTGTCTCCTCCACTACCACTGCTAGGACCATCCAGGTGCTGAGAGGGATCTTCGCCGCACATGGACTTCCAGATGTCCTTGTCTCCAACAACGGGCCCCAATTCACGTCATTTGAGTTCAAGGCGTTCCTCCAGGCCAACATGATCCAGCATGCCACATCTGCACCGTTCCATCCAGCTTCCAACAGCCAGGCTGAATGGATGGTGCGCACTACCAAGGATGCCTTAAAGAGGATCACTCACGGGAACTGGCATCATTTGTTAGCGGACTTTCTTCTGTGCCACCACACCACACCTTGCACAGCTACTGGAAAGAGCCCAGCTGAACTCCGCTGGGGTTGCTGCCTCAACACGAAACTGGACAGGTTGCACCCAGACCGGGTGGCTTCACAGGTGTCACAGCCACGGGTACCTAGGAGATTACAGGTGGGCGATCCGGTCTGGGCAAGGAACTATGGACCAGGACATCTCTGGGTCACAGCAGTGGTATGCAAGGTCTCTGGGCCGCTGTCATACGAAGTGGCCTTGGATGATGGTTGTGTGATCCGACGTCACATTGACAACTGCGCTGGAGGCTTCCCAGCAACTCTTCCGCTCCTGGCTCTGCTCTCGGGGGGGGAGGAGGACCACAATTACGATTGTGGATCACAGTCTCTCCAACATCCCCAGGCTTCAGCTATTGCTCCAAACAGGGAGTCCGCAGAAAGGGGGTTCGCCATGGAGGCGGCTCCGGCCTCTGGCACCTCATACACGGGGGCCATGGGGTATTGGGGCACATCAGCCACTCAGGCCACTCCAGTTGCTGGTCTAGGGCTCGAGGGACAGTGCTCCCAAGAGGAGTCCATTGTGGACTTGGGGAATTCCACCCCACCACTGGACATGGGGAATTCCACCCCCCCCAAGGAACCCTGGCTTGGATTTAGTGGATCCAGCCAGTCAGCAGCTGGGTGGGTCCCCTGGGTCCTTGGGGCAATGAAGTCCTGGTCTGCCTAGCCTGGCAGGCGAGCTGGCAGGCCAGGCACACACACCGGCCATGAGAAGATCAGGGTGGGCCAGAGGTCCTCCCAAATACTTACAAGACTATGTACGGTCCTTGTCAGTTCATGGGCAGGCCTAGTAGTCTGGATTAAGTAATGCAGCTCAAGAGGAGTGGGGAGCATGGCTGCAGCAAGACTGTAGTGTTGTGTATATATATAGATGCAACGTAAGCAATGTAATGGGGTGTTGGAGTATTTAAAATAATAAGTGTGCCTTATTATTTTAGCCAAGGGGGGGAGGGGTGTTATGTCCTGGGCCGGCAGGCGCAGGCTGCAGCGATTGGCCCGGGCAGACCATGTGGATGCCCGGGACAAGAAAGGCTGCTCCCAGCCTTGCGCGCACGTGCACGGCGGGAAAAGATCCTTTGAAACAATTGGCCAGCAAGGTATTGTGCACGGGGGCTATAAAAGGGGGCCACATCATTTTAAAATCTGTTCTGTTGGGGTTTGCAATAAAGGAGAACTGTTGGAACTCGTTGCTTCGTCTCGATGCCTCTTCTTCTGAAACAGAACACTCACCCTCATGTAGATGTTTAAAAAGAGAGGAGAAAGCAATAAACTCTGTGGCACCTCACACAGTAGGAGCTGAGATTCAGACCTCTCCTCTCCAATATCACTGACTGGAACAGACCCCAAAGGAAGGAGGACCAGCAACATAACACTCTGCTGCCCACTCCCAATCCTTTGAGCTCTTCCAGAAGGAGGGCCGAGGATTTTGCACAATATCTGTATGACAAAGTCGCTCGGATCCGAGAAGGCTTGGACTCCGACTGGTTGGCCCAGGGGGAGGAGACGGAAGCAGGTCTTGAGACGGTTATATGGGAGGAGTTTGACTCTGTTGCTCCCGAGGATGTGGACAGGGTCTTGGGAGGGCTGAATGCAACCACATGTTTGTTGGA